TAGGACTATGTATATTTAATTGGATTTTTTTTTTAAAAGATGAAGGTGAGTTGCCTGAGAGAATGCTAATGTCAGATTCACGCCAGGTACCTGGCAATATCCTTCAAAACACCATCTGTCAAGCTTTCTAGAGATTTATTTTAGAGTCTAACATACGATGACTGTTTAAACACTCAGCAAGGTAAGAGTGTAACTACTTAAGGAAACAAGACTTAATGCACTGGTTGCTGCTGGGTGTAAATAGAAGAGAAATGTATAGAATAGGCAGAATTTTTATTTGGGTGCCAGAAGAACGTGGGATCGTGGTGCAAGGATGTCTGTAATAGTGGATTTCTAGGTTATATCCACGATGAAGCAGTATTTCCACACTCTGGATTTCTGTTGTTTAGAATGTGATGTGTGCGATCAGCTACATCCACAACGATAGCAGCCAGGTGTTATTTTTATGGTGTCCTAAGCTTTTTTGATTGCCAGTACATTTTGTATAAAATGCGTAAATGTAGATATGAAGATTTTTGCTTCAGAGTCCAGAGCCTCAAGCATTTACTCTGAAAGTGCTGTGTTGTTTCATGTCGGTTGCTAGAACCTGAGGTTGAGAAGAGACATGCTGCTGTGTGAAACTGCAGAAGGACACACAAATGATAAGCATTCCAAAAAAATGGTTTTGATTTGCCACAGTGGATTTACTTGTAAAGGTAAAAAACCCCCTCCCCGCCTTTTTTCCCCAATAATTTTTTGTTTGTTTGATTTTGTTTGTTTGATTTGGGCTTTTTTGTTTGTGTTTACTTAACCTATATTAAAACCCAGAAATTACTTATGATTTTAATATGTAGGTGTGTGTCCTGCAGGTTGACGTATGTCAGAGGAATACTCGAATTAGTAGCTATTTACCCCTCACCACTGAGGGATGAATAGAAGTCATCCTTAAGGACTGATTTATTTTAGTCCTTACCTGGGTGTGGTAAAACCCATGGAAAAGGGACATTTACTGTGGTAGAGAATTTGCATACTTAGCAAACAACACAAAGAAAGGTGAGGAAAAAGGTACTACTGCTGCTTAAATATAAAAAACGAAGGCATAAAACAATTTCTTGAAAAATCACTGAGGGAATCTGTGGTGGATTGCGACTGTGAACCCTGTCTCCAAATGACTAATCGAGTGCCTTAATTAGAAGATACTTTATTTCCCCCTGGGTCATTATCTGTTTCATATAGAAGTAGATCCTACATGATTATTGCACTGTTAGAAAAGTCGGTTATAAGTCATCTATTAGAAGAACTTGTGAATTGTGAGGGGTTGGTGATATTTGCCTCAGTCTGTATAAGTTTTTTCAAACTTTAGCAAAATGAACATACTTATTCTGATAATATAGTCCAGTCAGTAAGGACAACAAAAGACCTCTTTAGTTGAACTCTAAATAATAGACAAGTCTCCATTTGTTGGAAAGGGGTTTTCTCTATCAAGTGAACTATTTTGGATACCAAACGGTTATAAGACGTGGAAGAGTCCCAATGTTTTAAATTATTTTATTGTAAATTGATTACCAGTAGTTATTTTCTTAGGTAAGATTGTACTGTTTCTATTCAGGAGTCATCCTGATGCTTGGTCAGATAGGAAATGTTAGAAGTGAAGAGCATGTTCTTGAGCAGTGCCTTTTGTACCCCACTTGTGCTTATACTGCAGCACACTCTAGAGAGTTCTCCTCCAGGGAGAACTGCAGGTGCCTCTGTTCTGGTGCTGCTTCCTGCTTCTGTCTGTTACTTTTGCACTTATGTAAATATTTATTGTTTTGTGTAAGATGTCTGTGATTATGAATATAAAAATAAGTATGTGACTGTAGCTGTGAAGGTGTGGATGACATAGAAAGCTACAACAAACTGGGACTGTTCGGTAGTTCAAAATTTGGTTTATATCAGCATTATATTTAATAAGCTGAAGTGCCAGGTAATTGTCTATATACTTTTGTGTACAAGCAAATTATATACATATGTGTTTCTATTTGTGTGGCTTTGGGATATCTTGTATTAGTAAAGCCAGCTAAGTGTTTTGTAATATAAACGTAAAGGAAAAAGACCTGTTGGAAAGAGCTGACCAAAGTAAGAGCATCTCTCCCCATGGAAATATCAGCATTACTTGGGTAATGAGGTAGCTAATTTCTCTCTATAATGACAGTACAATTGACCTCAGAATTTCAGTTGGCATTCTGAAGGCATTGAGAATTGGGCCTTTAATTTTAATCTTGAGTTAAGTCTCTAGATTATTCCACATGGCATAGAATGAGTTTGTTAAACCTCCAAGTTGTGTAAATTAGACTCATATAGTTTAGCATCATAAAGCTCCTTGTAGGACAGGACATAATTATTCAAAAGATTAGCCTTTGCACTCAGTGAGCATTAGTACAGTCTTTCATGCAAACCTGCAATAGTTGTTCCAGCTAGTATAAAACTGTTGATGCAAATTAATTTTGTCTTATATTCAGGATTTCAACTGAATATATTGGCTTTGTGTGGGTTTTGGATTTCTTTGGACTATTGGAGACTCATTTGCTTTTCATATAGGAAGGCAGATTTAGTTCACGAGTGTGTGTTTCTGTTAAAAACTTGGGATAATAATAAGGTTGCTGTATGAAAATTATTTGTCTTGGAAATATAGTATATGGTAATCATATCCTTAACCCTAAATGTAAAAGGCTGTTGTTCAAGCCTATGACCTGCTAAAATCAGGCCTCTGATACTTTTTAATTTTTATCAAATTTTTCATTGAAAACTACTTGTGAAAATATGCTTACAAATTTATTAATTTTCTTGTCTAAACAAGCCTTTGGATTAAAATAAGATTAATGCGAAATGTTTATAGAAGTACAGACATTAATATTAATCTATGAACAGTCCCTTTTCTGCTTATTGTTTCTTTTTTCCCTGATGTTTACATCAGGTGAGACGAAATCTGTGTTCATAAAATAGTTGGTATTAATCATAGTTTGCTTTGCTGTCTCAAGAAATGCAGTGTAAATAACTGGTAGATTGACTCAGAAAACACTATAATATTCAGAATGTGTTTTTTGGATATCTTGATTTCATTAGAAACTAGATTTATATATTGATCAGTTGGAGCCTTTTCAATAAAAAGTGCAAACTTTAGATGAATACAAGGTACTTATGATTTCTATAAAGTAGTGATGTGCTAGCAGTTCCAGACTTGGTTCAAAGCTCAGTACAGTTAATGGGAATATTTCTGTTGCCATTAGTGGGCTATCAGGTAGTCATTGTAATACAAATATGATATATTGACTGATATAGCCAATAGACTTGTATTCATGAAAACTGATAGAATATACTGCAGGTGTTAGAACTGACTGCATTTTGCTTTTTGTATTTTTTTTTAAAGATGATTTTTTTTTTGTCATGATGTGACAACATATTATGTGTTCGTAGCTCGAGGAAGTGCTTTTGTCTTACAGAATGTAATGCAGATAAATCCCAAGTGATAACTGGATTTAGGGAAAACAAAAATACTATAAAATATTAGAATGAGTGTAACAAAGCAACCATTGTGTTTATATTGCCCCAACTTTTTAGTCGTAAAACGCAGGCTTGGTTAAGAGGAGAGAAATAACAAATGATAGATGTGATTTAAAAAAATAAAAATAATAAAACTGCCTTTCAGACATCTGAAGTAGCTTAGGACCATTTGATCTTAGAAAACATGTACTTTGAAAAACAGTAAATTGTTTTTCAAAGAGATAGCAATGTAAGTGCAGTAAGTGAAGGTTAGATTCTGATACCCTTGTCTAAAAAAAAAAGGTGCTTCATTCTTTAAATAGTGCTTGAATCAATGGAGCTGGTTAAGGTGCAATTCAGTGCAAATAGCAGAATTTAGTACCAACTCTTTAAGGGAAGGTCAAAGACATTTGCTGAGGCTTATCTGGATGGCCAGAGGCTCATCAACAAAGTGTGCTGTTTTCTGGCAACATGAATGTTTTCCTTGTAAGGAGAAGAAAATTTTTGATTTGTCTTGGGAATTCTTTCAGTAAATTTATGTCATATAAAGTCTCCTTGGTGTATTCATTCAGGGAGCACCTGCTGTAGCTGTCCATCTCTCTTCCTTCGTGCTTCTAAGTAGGTATTTTTAAACTCAAGAATTCTTAAAATTGATAATATTTGCAGTCAGTACCAGGAAAAGGCAGAATACCTGGACAACTGAGTAGAAAATTCCAGACAACTGTTAACTTCCCAAGCACTGATCACCTCTGTAATGTGTAGAATAGAGTGGCCATTCCTAGCCAGGAGGTGGCATGATTGGGCTCCACATGCCAAAATAGAGCTTTATATCCGGACACCTTCTGGGAAAGGGCTTGTCTGGCCCAACAGATATATCAAATTCGTGTTCATTGCATGCATACTTTTCTCCTGTAGGCAGTATGCAGACAATATATACTGACAGGCAGATTTACTGGAGCATGCTGGGCTATTTAGTAGTCTTTAAAATCTGATAGGATCAGTAGCGACCAGTGCATGAGTCTCTTAATAAAGGCTGAACATCTGCCTAACCCACCAAAGCAGTGTCATGAGAGTGGAACAGTTCCTCCATGACATGTGAGGATGTGGGTTTCAAGCTCAAAGTGCAAGATGTGTTGGGTCTTATTTTAGAAGGCATAAATGTAGCTGCTGTTTGGTAGTTCCTCTCACAAGTTTTATTAAAATAGGAATACATCACGCCTCTCTGTGCCTTGCAGCTGTACCGTAGGTTAAACATTCTGCTTATATGAAGCAGTTGTTTTTTTGATCGGCTGGGTTGCTGCAGTTATGTGGCACTTCAGGGTAAGAGTGCCTTTTCAAAAACAAGCAGTTTTTAGCTGTTTCAATTTAAATCTCTTCTCTCCAACAGAGTGCTGAATGTGAAGGAAAAGTCAGTGTCCTCACAAGCTGATCTCAGAATATATATTGTTCCTTAAAATATTTTAAGAATAAGAAATAGGAAAAGTGTTTTCATCAAGAATTTGAGGTGTAAAGAAGGCAGACATGCTAGAAAAAAGCAACAGCTGTTTTGCAGATGGTTCCTTCTAAGCAGGGTGAAGGTATGCATTCATCTTTTGTTCACCTTGCATTTTTTGGTCCTTGGATGGGCATCAGTGTGCTGTATCAGAATAAGCAAGGAAGCAGACAATTTTTAAAATGGAGTGTGTAAAGTACGGAACTTTACTGATGCTGCAGTTTAGTCTTTGGCTGTATAAACAAATAAGGACTGTGCAGTCTGACCAGAAAAATGGAAAACCTTAATACTTGTGTAAAGATCTGAGGTGCGTAGAATATGGAGTTTTGACTTGTTTCTTTCCTGTACTATATATCTGCAATGAATACATTCTAAAACTCCCATCTGTAAGAGGTAGACTAATGCTGAATTTCATTCTAATCTTTGAGATCTCTAAGTGAAAAGAGCTTCATAAGAAATGCATATTATTATTATTACTTTTAATATGAAATTATTATTTTTAAATTTGCAGGCAAAAATAATCCTGGTTATTACAGTCCTCTGTAAATCCCGTCACATTTTAATTAGAATCCTGCTGGAAATGAGTACAGCTATTTCCTTATCGCAAAAAGGGGTCAGAACTAATAAAAACTATGAAGAAGAATTATCTAAGACTTTCAGCAGATTCAAAATCTCCAAACCCCTCCTGCAATAAGTTATACCTGTTTCTGAATTCACAACTTTTGTTGTTGGAAGGGAATTTTTTAGTTTAAATACTGAAAAAAATATCAAGTGAAACTTACAATAATGCTAATATGGTAGTATTGAAGATCATCCACATTTAATTAAGATGATACAAAGTTTCGATGGTCATAAATAGCCACATAAATGGTTGCATATATCATATGTGATATAACCAAAGACATCTTGAAAACTTCAAATGCTCTACTTGCACTGGGCATGCCTGTTTATTGTTCTTGGGTTAGCATGATGCAAAGACTGAAAGGGACAGGGCAGGTCACTGCTGTTTTAGAATTTCTCTGCACCTGCTGAAGTGTTCATCAAATACTGTAACATCTAATTCTTATTGTAGGGGTTACACTGAAAGATGTAAACTTCAAAATCTTTTGATTCATGAAGTACTTTGAATTCTGGCAATTGATGTGACTTGGAAAAAGTAATACTTCATGCTAGTCTGTAAAAGTTTTATTAAAATCTGCATTCCTCCTTTTAACACTCTTTTGAATTTGCAAAAGAAATTCTACTTGTTTTATAATAGAAGCAGTTTAGATGTGCTAACTGGTGAAGACAGGTTTTTCTTCAGAAAAAGCAAAAGTAGGGATCAAGGCCCCTGGCTCATAAACAGTCAACTTCCAAAGAGCAGCACTGCAAATTGAGGAAAAATGGTTTTCCTAAGACGTGTGAGCACTGGAAAAAGAAAACAAATCCCCATTTGGCATATTCCCCAAGTTTAATGTTCCCTAGGATTCAAATGTGTGTTTCAAAGCTCTCTTTCCAATGCTTGAAGTTAGAGAACTTGCCATGAAATCAGGGACTTGGTGTGTATGTGTTAAAATAGCTTTTCGGTATTGAAAAATTGAGTTAACTTATTTCTTAAGTGTAAATTTTATTCTTCGTATTTCTGGTAATGTAGGCCCATATAGCTGATTTTTCTAAGCAAACTTGTTTCTTGTATTTTGTCTTTTTTGAGATTTCGTAAAGAACTTTCTGGTCTTGTCTGGGTGAGCTCTAGCTGGGAAAAGAGTGAAACTTTGTTCTTCCTAAATACTTAGGACTATGCTGATTTGCTGCAGCTATGAAGCTGGCTCCCTGACTCTGCTGTTTCCAGCTAAAACTGATTTTTCTCCAGTTCTGCTGAAAGCCCCAAACTTAAGTGACTTGCTGTGTCTTCTGTTGATGTTTGCAAGGTAAGTGAAAAACTGATAAAATGCAGAATTCCAAGAGACGTTTCTCCTCCTTGTCTTCAGATAGCTATTCAGTAGGAAAATGGCAAGTTAATTTTGGTAAATGGTGCTTATTATCCTGGTGTTTCCATAGGACTGTAGAGCTATCTAATAGATTAGCTTTCACACAGATATATATTTCAAATTATTTCACTAATACTTGTATGCAAAACAGTGGGATTTAACCCATTGTTAAATCTGAAATAACACCCTCCTCATACTCATAGATCCAGGTAAATATATGACTTGTATCAGTTTATTGTTATGCTCAAAAGCCATTGGCAGGTAATCCACCACACTCAGTTCTTATATTGCATGGACTCTTTTTCCTGATCCTACACACTCCTATTTAACAAGATCATTCTATCTTTGTAAATATACTATTGCAGAATGCCCTGTAATTTATTCTATTTGATTTGTTAGAGATCTTCCAGATGCTGTTGCTGCTGTTACTGTAGTGGTTGTTCTTTGCTTGCTTCAAATGTTTTAGTGTAAACACCAACAGATCAGGGTGTGCAAAAGCCCCTGTAAAGGATGGTTTACTCATCAGTGGAAAAGCAAAGGGATCCTAGGTCAGCAGGGAAAGTGGGAAAACGGGTGCTCATGTTACCTATTTTGTTACACTTCTTTTTCCAGAAGATTAAACTGCGAGGTAACCTGGATATACAATAGTTTATGCTGAGCTGTGCATGACAAAAAGGTGTTCATACAGTACTAGCTTGTTAGAACACACAAACCATCTATTCAGCATGAAAATACTCTTGCTGCTCCAAAGTATATGAATAATCTGAAATAATATGTCAGATGCAAGGGAGAAGGGAGGACTAAGTTTTTTTTGCTTGAAATATTTTGATGCAATGCTTTTTTGTAATAAGGAATGTTTGTACTGTCAGCTATCCAAGTGCTTCTTGTGGTGGAAGTAGAAGATGTTTTCATCAGAAAATGGAAATGGAGCAGCTTTTGTTTAGACACAAGCAGGAACTTAATGTGATTCTGCATCCATCCAAACACTAAAATGTCCTGATTTGGAGATAAATAGAAAATAATTAGAAGCTAATACCAACTTCTGGCTGGAACTTTCTGGTTCTTGAGAATTCAACTCTGTCCCTTTTCACAGCCTTTAAAGTTTTTTTGTTTGTTTTTTAAATAATGAAAAAGTAGGATGGAGAAATGGAAGAGTGGGGAAAAGGGAAAAGGGAGGAAAGGTGGGAAAAGGACAAAAAAATAATGGGAAGATTGTAAAGGAAGTAGAAAAGGGAGTAGTGGTACACAAAAGGGTATAGAGAAGAAGATGAGATAATTAAGTGAAGAAAATATCAATTTAACAGGTGAAAAAGATTCTGTTATTTTAGCTCTGAGAAACTGATGAAAGCACAAAATATTGAACATTTAATAAGGACTTCTGGAAGCTTTTAGTTAAATTTTATTCAATTAGAATGGATAGATAAAAGTAGGGGCTAGTAAGCATTTGAAAATGCAGTTTGGTCATTTAAGAAAAATAAAAATAAAATTCAACTCTTTCTGAAAACCTTCTGTTAAGAATGACATAATTTTGAAACTGTTGTACTTCATGTGTTCAGAGATACGCTATACGTATCTGCCATACATATATATGTATTAAATTATGCAGTAATTAAACACAACAATCTATTTTGCAGAGATTCTCCCAATTTTATGCTAAACAGCATCTGAGATATTCCCTACCCTTGAGATATTTGCAGTTCTTTTGGAATATTATGGTTATCCAGTTAACAGTTTAATTATGCTTCTTATTTTAAATGTTAGTATTATAAGATTGAACAGATTGACGTTTTAGAGTTTCCTTCTTTCTTTACATAATAGAACCTGCAAACTTTGCAATGTACTAGTGGTAGGAGCTGTGAACGTAGGTTTTGATTTATATCAGGTAGAATTACTTCAGGATAGATTCACCAGTTTGACTTAACTGAAATATTGACTACATCTAGCATTCCGAGTCAGGTTGTGGTGTTTGGTCACTTTTCTTTCCTTATATAAATGTAATATCCTTGGGATAGTTTCCTGAATTAGTTTCTGGTAGTGTGAGTTTTCAGATTTTTGTTGAAATTGCTGACAGTTTCTTCATGATTTGTACCATTCCTTAACAGTGAATCAGAATCAAACTGCAGAACCTTTTTAAGATGCATACTTTAAGATTATTTTTTCACTTTTTTTAAGTTGGAGTTACTGACTATTTGAGATCCATCTTAAGCCATACTTCCCTATATGTCACTTAAACAAAAGCACTGAACTGTGGATTACTACAGAACATCTTATGTCAGAGACAGCAGATTAATAAGCTAATAAAATTGATATGCAGGACTGTATTACGCATCATATCTTCTCATTAGGTTGTTTTAGGAAAGAGAGAACAATCATCTAGAAAAAAACCCCAACCATAAAGTCTTACAGCTTAAGCTTGATTTTTGCTTAACTCTGTTTTTCCTCAAATTCTGAGGAATTGTAACTGCCAGATCTTTCCAGACTGATTTATGGTCACTTTTAGCTCAGATGAGAACACCATCTAGTTTGATATTTGTCTCTCCTATTGAATTCTGTTTACATATAGTAACACTTTGTTTTCATTACACCCAAAATACAGAAGCTGTTGGCTCTTAAACTGTTGCAGATGGGCTGTTTCAGTACTCTCCAATATGTCATGAGGCCATTTTGGTCATGTTTATTCTAGAATACTTAGAAAATGGAAATTTCTCATTACTCTGTTTTTAGAGTTGCTTATTATGTACTTTGGACAGGAGTAGTCATCATTGGCTGCTTCAGATATCTGGATGAGGTGGGATTTTGTTACACTGTTCACTATCCCAAGGCACCTTGGTACCTTTCCATTTGTCTTGTAGGGCACACGGCTTAGTTACTGTCTCTTTCTGACAGTGATCTCTGTTCAATTTACTGTGTTAATTTTTCTGCAGAACATCCTGCATTTGTTTCTTGAGTCTTAAACCAGCTCTCCAACTCTGTCCAGGAATGTTCCAAATCCTTGGGGTTTTGTGTAGTTTATCTAAAGGGGAGTTCCATGATCTTTAACTTCCAAACTCCTCCAATATGAGGTTTGGCTTCTTTATAGAGCACCTTCTTGTAGCTACAATCTCAAGTTAGGATTTGTTCATGTACCAAATTCAAGCTGTTTCATTGAAACCTAATATTAAGTCTTCAAACAGTTGTTTGTTTTTTATTTTTTTTCTTCTGAGTATCTTTCCCTAGATTTGAATTTCAGTTTCTCTCTTACCCTATGATGGTTAGTCCTCACACTTTTGAAAAAAGTGTTCTTTATCCTTAGGAAATGTTCACCTTGCTCTACATTGTCAATCTTCTTTTAAGCACAGTAGAAAAATATAACAGGAGTTTAGAAATTAGAAGCTCCATGTTTTCTTTCCTTTGCTTGGCTTAAATGAAAACTATTAAAAATGTCAGGAGCTTCTGAAGATGGGGTTTGGGGGCTATTACCTCACTGACATTTTATGGCAAGAAACCTACTTCAAAATTGTTTGATATTCTTCTTGCACTATAGAAAGCACCGAGTTCTATCAGGGTCCAGGAGTGGTGTAATTAAGTATGACAGTATTTAGGAAGATAATAAATGTCAAATAAAAATAATGAGTTCAGATGTTGCTTAGCTCAGAACAGAAGGCACAGATAGGAAAATCTGAAGCTTTCTGGTAAAATTAATAGGGAAAACATTAACCTTTTCTAAAATATGCCTCTAAAATTCCTGAGGAGGAAAGTCAGTGAAAACCTGGTTGAGTGTCTGTTGTGTCAGATTTGTCAGATGTCACTCCAGTGCAGTAAGGAAGAAGGTTACTACTGGACATTTTAGGTGCATATGTGGGGTTTGTGCATGAAGAAAGACTGTGCCAAAAACTAAGTCCAGACTCCAGAGTTAAATGGCTGATACATGCTAAATTTCTGTACCAAGTAACTCTTTTCTTAGCCAGCAGCATGGGGGGGGAGGATTCTGTTCAGGCTGCCTGTATGCTGGGAATAAATTTTACAGTACTAAATTTTTAAAGAAAAAAGGTAATGTAGAGTAAAATGCTAAATTTCAGTCACATCATTGAAAGTGATTTCCTGCTATGCTAAAGCTAGTTTTCTGTTTGAATTTGAATATTTTAACTGTTTTCTGTTTATCACATTGCTGTATTTAATAGAAGTGTTTGGTCTTTTTAAAATCGGAATGACAGTAGGTAAATCTAATCTGTACTTTTTAAGTGGCATATTTTACTCTGCTGGTCCACAATACAGTTTGTCAGGGAAAATAATTGAACCACACTTGAATGTTGTGGATTTTTGAGAGTATTTTGTTACTTTTCTGAGCTCAAACATAAATGTTTCACAGAGGAATATGCCACTGAGTATTGGGATTTGGGTAGAAAATATATATGGTGTGAATGAGAGGAAATAAATATGGTATTTGGGGCAAGTTTTTTCTTTTTGCTACTCGATTGAAAACGACATTTTTTTTTAATGAACTCTAAAAATACTCCTGATTCTATTGCACAGGTGTCTTCTGGGGTCTCTGCCAACAGGTAGAGACAAAGGACAGCAACATCTAAACTTTTCCCAAAGCTTAACAAATATAGTATTAGTAATGTTATTGTGTCCCTACATTGGAAAATTAAATAATTTTTCTATTATGATTTATCACTTACATATTTTTGCTAACTGCTTAGTAAAAGCAAGTTCTCTTAACTCCAAAACTACTGAGAGTATCTGCATTATACTGTTTCTGCCTTCACCTACAGTTTGTGCATCATGCTGCCAGCGATACTAAAGTGATTTTAGATTTTGAAAACGCTGCTGATGCTTTTGAGAAAGCACGCAGGATCACTCTTGAGGAGAAAAGACAATGCAGAAAGAATCGTGCCTTGCAGAATATATCTCTTAAGGAGTCTTTCTGCTGTGCCTTTTGCAATCGGACGTGTCTATCT